AACAAATACATGGACTATAAAAATAGTATGAAATGGTTGCAAAACTTCTTTATGTAATATATCCATTGGATGTTGTATATTTCACGGAGGCAAAAGTTGTAAACGACTTTATGGACATTATCATACTTAAGCTAAAAATTAGTGATCACATTTTTTTCTTATCGTCAGTTTTTGTTAGTGAGAACACTTTAGGGCCGCATAGTTTTGTACTTTTAAAATACCACGATAGATTTTAGTTTAGATAAAATATACTATTTTAAAAGTGCAGCCAATTGGGCTATAGTATGTTCTTGAGCAAGGGCAGCCAATTCCTTAACCCACTCGTCTAAGAGCACAGCACATAAGGCAACGTGTTGCGCATGAGTAAATTTTGCGATATGATAACTTACACTACTTTCTCCCGTTGTTATTAAAGGTATGTTACTGTCTATTTGGCTCGGTCGTCTTGCAAACATATTTGAAATAGATGAAAATGATGACGTAAAGCTTCTTCTTTTAGAGCCATTTCTTCGAAAAGGTTCTTCAATTTCAATGCTTGGTGAAGATGAAATGTTTCTCTCCACTGCATTTCTACGTGCATTTATCAGTCTAGTTTCCCTTTCCAGTAAGAATTCCTTTGCTTGACGNTCAGAATTTATTCTTTTAATAAGTATGTCTAACATTTTCTGACCATCATATGGTACTTGCAATAAAAACTGCAATAACGAATAAAGTAAACCGGGGCTGGTTACAGTTCTCAAAATAAGTTCCAAATAGGCTGTTGCAGCAATTTGTTCGGCAGGATCTGTTTGTAGAAGGGCAGGACCAAGAACAGGTATTAAAAAACCTCTATGAAGAAACTCTTGCATTTGTTTTTGTATGGATGGATGAGAAACTTGAGCAACAGCATTGCTAAATTCCAAAGATGTTATAAATGTACAAAGGTTTTTTATATCTTTTACATCATCTGGTGTTAAACGATGCCAATCAGGGGAAACTATATCACTTAGTACATTTGGTAAAATAGTGTAGAGACCACTTAATCCTGTTGCAAGAAGGACACATATATTTACTTGTTCAGAAATATAGGAAGCTATCTGATCATTTTTCTTTGTTAAAGACATACAGAGAAGTAAAGCATCTCTTGCTTGCATTCCAGAATAGTCCTCTCGATGAAGGAAAGTAACCAAAAGATCAAAAATTATAAACCTAAACAAAATCACATTACTATAACAACTTACTAAATATTGTGCTCTTACTTTGGGCGTCCCTGTTCTGTTGTAAAAAATAACTCCAACATGTCACTGTTTTGTGTTAATAAAACACAAATTTGGGATAATAAGGAAACTAAACATTTTTCAACATCTTTTGGGAAAACATTGGACTGGCAAGAATTAAGTAACCTTAGCATAGGCCTCAAAAATGTTTCATGAGCTAGTAGAAGTTGTCTCACATGACAAACTAACATTTCATAAAATTTTAGCTGTTCTAGACAGACTGCATTTGCATACCTTAAAATATACACAAAACAAAATTTTAGTGAAGGCTCACTGAAGGTATTACTGATTACAAGAATCATGTGATAAAGTATAGTTACAGTGCCAATTTTTAAGACAATTTGTTTACTTACTTTCCTGTTCTTATACCCCATTCAAATAACTGTTCTAAAATTCTTGAATCCAAAAGATAATTCAAACATTTCGAATCACTAATATTTAAATTAGCAACCATATCAGCCTTTTTTACATCATATACAAGTAAAGTAACCATTTGTTCTAAATGATTTACAACACTCAAGACATCATCTTGACTGGGTAGTTGCTAAAATTTCAATTAAACCAAGTTTTATAAATTAATGGTTACAGACAAACATAACCTTAAAAGAACGTTACTACTTTACCTGGCTTCTTTGAATTATTTTATAGGTTTGTAACCAATGT